GGCGGGAGCCTCCAGCGGGACAAGGGCTGTGTGGCTCATCCCGGATCCACGGAGGTGCGTTGCTGCGAGCTGACTCGCTGCCCTTGAGGAGGCACAGACAGGCCCCGGGGTCTCCTTTCCGGGGGCCCAGCGCCTGTTCCCCTCTGAGGGATGGCCACAGCGAGCAGCAGTGCCCGTAGCTCCTTCCCCACCTCCTTCCCAATTCATCCACGCCAAGGCCCAGCTGCTGGAGCGAGCGATGCCTGGGCGGCCGTGTGGGAACAGCCCCTGGCAGCAGCACTGTGCAAGTGCCGGAGCTCGGACACCCCACACGGCAGCCCCAGGGCCAGCCTGGCGTGCCAAGCACCCAGGATGGGTCGGTGTGCCGCTCTCATCGCTCCTTAGCGCTCACAGCGTTCAGGTAAGCACAGGCAAGACCCATTCAGGTGGCCGCTATTTGGCCTTTCTGACCCCAAACCCACCAGCAGCAGCCTGGCCACACAGCCCAGGGCTGCCAGAGGAAGGACACACGTTGTCAGCAGCATCTGGGCCGCGGCAGCTGCGCCCTGACCCCGCAGCGAGGGACCCGAGGCCTCCCCAGTTGGTGAGAGTGAGAAAAGCCGGGCAGCGGCTGCCGGCAAGGGGAGGACTCGCACCCTTCCCCTTCTCACTAGCATCACCGTGCGGCCAGAGTGCCCGCAGGCACAGCTCCAACACCGCCAGAGCTGTTTAACGCTCATTTACTGCAAACCAAACAGCCTGAGCTGCAGTTTTATTAACTCTACAGCTTGCCAGGGGGAAGAGATGCTCCTTCAGCACCCAAACCTCAGCAGTTTAGCCCACTACAGGGAATTTCTGCCTTTCGTCTTCCTGCTTGTGCCTCCGCAGCAGCTGCCTCTTCCCCTCAAACAGCACGATGCCAGCAGCGACAGCGGAGTTGAGGCTGTCCACGCCTGGCACCACGGGAATGACCAGTCTCTTCCCCCCCGTACTGGCTGCGAGGCGATAGGCGTCTGGGCTCAGACCGTGGGTCTCTCCGCCGATCACCACCGCCACTGCAGCCCGTGTCCAGTCCTCACTGTAATGCTGCGCGGCCAGCTCTGGGACGCAGACGCCCGCCGCTCCCTCCTCGTCCTGGTGCTCAGAGGGAGCATCAGGAGCAGAGCCAGCCCCGCCGGCTCCCCTCGGCACGGATGCAGTCTCAGCCTCAGTGCCTGGGTCTTTGTTGTCGGCCACGCAGACCTGGACACCGGCAGGAATATTGCTGGGAAGAGATTCCCAGTCCAGGTTGGAGACGATGGGCACACGGAAATGAGCACCCATGCCTGCACGGAGCACCTTTGGCTCCCACGGATCCACACAGCCTGAGACAGAAGGGGAGAAAACAGTGACAGCGCAGTGGCTCCCACAAAGACTGCTTCAGCAGCCACCCCTTCCTGCAGCACATCGTGTCGGGGCTGGGCTCTGGTTACAAACTCTCAGGAACAACATCCGCAAGCACCTCTCATTCCCTGCCTTACCCCCACACTGAACTTTTCTTCCCCAGGGAAAGGCTCTTACCTTTGGTGAGCAGCACTTTCTCACAGCCTGCTCCTGCCGCAGATCTCAGAATAGTCCCCAGGTTTCCCGGATCCCGGATGTTGTCGCAGATGAGGAACAGTGGCAAGGAGCAGGTCAGCTGAGCGGCAGGGTAAGACATCTTGGCATGGTCGGGCTTGGAAAAGATCCCTGGGGAGACAAAGCGGTGACAGGCTTCTGAGTAACGCACCCGAAGGAGAGAGCTGCCTCTGATCTGGCTCGCCTAAATCTCACTGAAGAGGTGCTGGAGAAAGCATTCGGAAAAGCACAGCTTGAAGCCTGAGTTTGTCGCTTTACGAGGAGAACACTATTTCCCAGCAGAGCTTAAGCAACGTGCTATTAAACACGAGCATTGGAACCTTTAGTACGTAGTAGGAGCCACGTTCACGGTGACCACAGCAGGGCAAATAAAAGGGAATTCTCTCAAATTATATCACTTGACACACTGCCAGGATGTCTAGGGGAAGGTTATGAAGAGAGAGCCGTTATCCACTTATTAAGCGTGAAGGAAGTGTTCCTACAAGCAGCGTTGTGACCGTTTCTAAGGTAACTTACCTAGAAGCCCCTGAGGAGTTACGAGGTCAGACCAGCTCTTAATGTCTTCAAATTTCACCTTAACTAAGTTGGCTCGTTTTAGCTGTGCCTGGGGCAGCTCCTGCAGGTGCCCCACCGTGCTGAAGAAGAGAGTCTGCAGCACAGCTCCTGCTTCCAGGGCGTCCTTGATCAGCCTGTGACCTTCCAGCAGAACCTTCCCGTGATGATCCCGAAACTTCTTCGACTTGGCGATGGTCACCACTTTTCTGGGGAGAATCAGAGGAAAGCCGGAGAGCGGCTGTGACACCAACACGTACCCGAACGTCGCTCGGACGCTCCCCCCGGGATCTTTAGACGGGCCGTAACTGGAATCGCAGCATCAGCTTCCGCCCACCAACTCTCTGGACGTGAAACCAGGTTGGGAATGGGGCACCCCCGCAGTCCCCCAGCCCCAAAAGACGGCTGGGCCCGCCC